CCCTCATTTGGGCTCAAGACGGGTCGGAAACCGATTATCGTCTGCTCGCCCTGACACCTCATACCATCCGGCCTATAGAAGGCGGCACATTCAACTTTCGCCACCTCTGTAGAACATTTACCCGTTCGGGCCAAGTCTCCAGCACTCCACTTTAAAAGTGAATATGAACTTTATATGAAATGTGGTCACCTTAGTTTGTTTAAGTTGATGAAGTTATGGTAGCTGAATTGTCCTAAAATGATACGAGCAGACCCTACGTTTCTATTTAGCTGCGCATAGTCTTGCTTCTCCATATAGTTTTCTCTTTCTGGCAGGAGTGGACTGCAATTTCGGCCTCGCCTCGTTCTAATTCATACCCCTAGCGGGACTCGAACTGTGATAGTGTAGCATATAATCTCGACACGTAACGACTGTGCTACATTTCCACGAGTACCCTTGAGTCATAGTACAGATGAGAATCTCAATGAAAGTCAGGCCTTTTTCTCCTATGACCTTATATGGGGGGATTGTCGATGAAGATCAGTTGTATTTGTTACGGCAATCGACTACATTACTTATTTCTCATTTATAAGTATGTTTGCAAGACTACCAGAAGAGCATATGTATGAGATGCGTTCACCCTATCACGTTTCATAGGGTGAATGAGTGGAGATTATATTTTTACCATCTTGTTTCATCGACAATTCCACGACAAAATGTGATATGGGAAAAGGCTTGGATTTCATTTAAATCCATATCTGCTCTGTGAACCAAGGGGACTATATGCTGCTATACAACATTATAGGTTCGAGTCCCGATGGGTGCGCTGATGAGACCTAGGCGAGGTCGAAACGGCAGTCCCCATTGGATGGTATTATTCTTTGGGAAGCAAGGTTATGCGAAATTTAATGCAAATGTGTGGCCTATTCATATGAGTCTTAGGAACTTCAATTACCAGTCCCTTCACACCTTAACAAAATAGAGTAAATATATCTTATATATATACATATATATATATATATATATATATATATATATATCCTTCTCATAAATTTAATTAAGCCGATGAGTCAAGAAAACTCACCAGCTTTCCAGTAAATGCTGTATACATACCATAATTCAACTCATTTGATTAATCATCGTGATTTGGTTAGTTAAAGTCATATGTCAATCTAGAAGCACATGCATGCGTCTGCTTTGAAATTGTAGTCCAGTCAGGATTAGAAAGCATCAAAAGGCCAATACTCTTCATTGTGGCAAGTTCACATATCAGTCCATACATCAGCTTAGGCAAACCAGACTATTCAAAGATATGAAGACAAAGATTGTGTGGCCTTTTGTAGTCGCGGTTTCCTTTCGTTGTATACAAGTTACTTGACCTTGTTTCGCAACTTAGTCATATTGGTAGGAAGAGTTAGAGGAACACACCTAGTCCGGAGTTCATAGTATGCATGATAATTTCCAAAGTAGGACCATCGACGTGGTACCTTCCCAAAAGTTTCGCCTGCATCGTCAGTGAGTCTTGCCATGCTTAGCACCACACTACAACTCGTCAAAGAGACACGTGAAGCTGATCCTTCGACTGAATGTGTGCTAAACATGTGTGGTATCTCTCCTTCTGTCCTGGGCTATTCATCTTTTCTATATCCTCGTATCACGCCTTTACTATCACCAGTTTTCCTTGCTTATTCAAATGTAGTCTGGTGTGCCCTTTTAAGCGGCTTTCATGAGAACCCTCCACACTTCACGCTGGCGTTCTCACCTCCATTCACATTTGTGCTGGAAATGTGGATCAAAGTCTGCCATATTGTTGGCAGTCCTTCTTCCTTAGGTCTTATCAGCGTCTCCCTCTTGCCCCGAGTATCCGTCTGCTATCTCCCTGGTTCAAGTATTTCCGTTGACCTCTGCCACCTAATCTGTGCTACACGAGGCTAAATACCCCGCATAATTGTCATGGCCAAGCATTTGCTTCATGGACCACGTCTATGGTAAAACAGGCCTACTGTCAGCCAACTAACTCTAGCCTCCATCGCATCTATCCTGTTTCTATCCGTAATACCATGTCTATGAATTGCTTTGCTCTAGTCTCTTCTGTGCCAACCCGCAAATGTTGTCGTTCAACATTGAAGCTAATCACAGCAAGCACTACCACAACATTTGTGGGTTGGCACACAATAGAAGAGGGCATAGCAAGTCATATACTTGGTATTAGGGATATAAACAGGATAGACGCGGCGGAGACTAGAACTTGTTGGTTGACAATAGGTCTGTTTTACCATAGAGACCCAAACAATCAGAGTCTTTTCCATACCATGAACGCATCAAATAAAGAACGCAGCGTTGATATTTTTTGAATTCCGAAAGAAATACTATCAAAATTCATGCCGTCATGGACACACACAAAAGTGTTAAGCCCACTTAGCCCTTAAGCACTGTAGTCTTGGCACAGCTTCCATTGCTGATGGGAAAAAAACGGAACCTCACAGCGGACCTAGTCAAGCTGCCGTTATGATATGTTGCCAATATAAACAATAACCTTAGCGCAATGCCAAAGTGCATTGAGGAGTTATGATGGCAATTATGAGGCACACAAATACCTCTGCTTGAAACAGAAATATACTCGAATTCGGCGCAGGAAACGTGGTTTAATATGAGCCCAACTATTTGTCATATGTCAAGTTGCCGAGGCTTCAAGCGAAGCGAATGTTTAGTAGGCATGGCCAAACTTTGACTATTTTTCAAATCGCATCAGCCTCAAAAGTACCCTCCCAGCGAATTCTAGGGCTCTTAACTTACTCCCGCACATGCCACAAGTGACCGGACATGCTTTGCTTGTCTCAATGTCGCCACATTTTCCCGCCTTCATCAGCTCCCGGCAAGTCTTCACCTCCCCCAGGTCTTTACAGCCCTTACAGGCCTGAGTCCTCTTCGAGACGCGTCTGATGCAAGTGCAGTTCTTGACGTCGTAGCTGGTTGTGATGACTGTAATTTGCTTATTACGGCAGGAGGACACGTTGAAGTTCGGCTTGGGACACAGGACGGGGCCCACTTCACGCTTCATTGTGGCCACACATTGGCACTTTTTCGCCCGTTCTGTGCAGACCATTTTCTGTACAAATTAAAAAACCTTGATTGTCATTTAGGCATAATAACTCAATTATACATTTTAAGATTATGAGCAAAAAAAGGCAAATTTATAAGTAGGCTATGCATGCATTTGGTGATAAATTAATTGTAACAAAATGTTATTACTTTATAATATTTTTCATATGTAAGTAGGGTTTCGAGATTACCAGTAAATCAGTAGTATGAGATGTATTCACCCTATTTTGTTTAAGGTGATGAAGGACTGGTAGTAGAATTTTCCCACAATGATATGAGTTTAGCTGACGTTTCCATTGAATTTCACATAGCATTGCTTTCTAAGAAGTTATTCTCACCCAGATTGGACTGCAGTTTCGACCTCGCATATGTCTTATCAATACCCTCAGCGGGAGTCTATGGCAGTGCAGCATACGAGTTTGATACAT